TACGTTGCGTTATGATTGTATGGGAATTAAATATATTTTTTCCATTCTCTTGATCTAAATCAATGAATAGTAAGCCATAGTTATACTCGCAAGAGCATAAAGTTATATTATCAAATAAATCATAAAAAAAATTGAAGAATCGAATCTAATATTTCATGTACTGTATCCACATAAAGAAGAAGAAATAAGATTAACAAATTGAGAAAAACGCCTTTTGTTAGTGAGTATTAAAAACTTAATGCGCTCGGTGTAAATGTATGAACACATGAAGGCGATCAAATTTTAAGTACCATTTGAAATGTGTGGCATAAAGAACTTGCTACCATAAATTTTCATTACAATTGCAAACACACCAAATTACTCATACGAAAAGTAGTAATCCAGATAACCATAACCAGAAATATAAGAACAAATACATACTGGTATTTACATATGTACTTATGAATATGCATAAACGCATATTTGAGTCTGCATTCATGAGCTTAGTAAAGTTTTTCATTGTAGGTATGAGCAATTCGCACGTCGCGCCAATATAAATACACTCACAGCGCCATTTCCATTCCATACGTATACATACAAATGTACTTAGCCGCATGTGAACGCATAAATGCGAAATATATCCACATACTTATACATACATACATACACGTATGTGTGCGAAAGGATATAAAATTTTGCCACTTTTCACTAACTCTACTTTATAATTTGACTCGAATACGACATAAAAATGTATGTATGTATGTATGTATATGGGAGTATGTGCCATCTATATACAGCTGAATGAGTGTGTTTGTTTAAGTGTATGCTTATGTTTGTACGTGCGTTAAAAAATGAGGCCAAAGTATTTCGAATTGCATTAGTGAAATGAAATTGTTAGCTTGATGGCGAGCGAATTACAAACACTCCGACACTCGCGGCTTCTAAATGGTATTTGAGCGTGTTTGGAAAGCAGTGCAGAGTATTTTCACTTAAAGCACATTTCAAATAAATGTATTTGGAAATTTAGAAATGAAAATAGAAAATAGAAAATAGAATAATTTGATTAGGTGTGCATGTGTGCATGCAAAGTAAGTGGAACATTCTCAGTACAATTTTACAAATTAAATTTCATTTTCCAACTAAATTTGAAATATTTAAACTAGTCAAATTTGGTAACAATGGGGAAAATAGTCTAAAAAAATATTTATTTTTAAAAATATTCATACATTCGTATGCATGAGCACATATAGTACACACATATTTGTGGTAAAATGCAAACACACACGAAATCGTAGTCTACTTTTGCATGGGACAGTGCTGGTATAAATTCAAACGCATACCTCAGAGTGTGTGTATAGTAAAGCATATCCAATTAAAAGTATATACCTATACTTCTACATATATTTACCGCAGCTTAACAGTCACAAGTACAACAGTATTTCATGTATATATATGCAGGCCACACAGTCGCAATGCCTAAAAATGCGCAACGCCAGATTACACGCTCTCAGGCTAATCGCAAATGCCAAACTGAGATTGTAGATTTTTTTCGCCTTTTGGGTTTGTCCTCGTTTCATATATTATTGCTTTTGTAAATGTTTACTCGTTTTTGTAGAAATGTTTACATGTGACCTCGTCGAAAGGTGAAAAGTTTACCTGTCAGGCTAGGCAAAATTAAAAGCCGCCAAAATATTGTTAGCAGATTACACACACGCACATTAATGCAGTAGAGTAAACATTTCAGCTGTAAAAGCAAAAGTGTGCTTCAAAACGTGAATGTAAGTATGTGAATAGAAGTACTAGATACCTGAGTATTAACTAAATTTAATTTAATTAAATTCAATTATATAAAGAATAAAAATATAAAATAAAATTAAATTAAAGAAATAAATTAATGTAAAGTTAAAGAAGTAAATTAAATAAAAAAGATTATTTTAAATTAAATATAATATATAAAAAAAATTTAGAAACATAAGTTCAAATAAATAAATTAAAATACCATAAAATAAAATGAAATAAATAAAAAAATATAGAGAAAATTTGAGTAAACTAAATAAAATGACTAAAATATAAAATATAAAATGGAATTAAATAAAATAAATTAAAGAAAAATAAAATAAATTAAAATACCCTAAAATAAAATTATGTAAATAAAAAATTATAGAAAAAGTTTGAGTAAACTAAATAAAATATATAAAATATTAAATGGAATTAAATAAAATAAATTAAAGTAAAATAAAATAATTTAAATCTTAATAAAAGCAAATGTTAAAATTAAAATAAATAAATTTTAAATTAAAAAAAAATTAAAACGAAGAAATACAAAATCAAATTTAGAAAATAAAAAAATTGCATTACAATAAAGTAAAATGTAATAAAAAAATAAATAAAATACGATAAAATAATAAACAAAATAAAATAAAAAAATTAAAATCAATTAAATTAAAATAAAATAAAATAGATTAAAATTAGATAAAATAAAAATATTAAATTACATTAAATAAACCTAACTTAACTAAATTATATTAAACTAAATTAAATTAAACTATATTGAATTAAATGAAATATATTAAAATAAAATAAAATAAAATCTATTAAAGTAAAATAAAATAACATAAAAATAGGATTAAAAAAATAAATTAACTTAAATAACATTAAATAAAATTTAATCAAATGAAATCAAACAAAAAATAATAGTTAAATTAAAAATACCTACAATTTTTCAAAAATATAATTAATAGAATAAAATAAAATCAAATGAAATAAAATTAAATTAAATAAAATAAGTATGTAAATAAAAACAGATAAAATCTAATGAAATAAATTAAAATAACTCAATCAAAATAAACTAAAATAATATAAAAAAACAAAATTTAAATAAATTAAAGTAAATTAAATAAGGTGAAATATAATAAGAAAAAATAAAATGAAATAAAATTAAAGGAAAATATATAAAATTACATAAAATTAAATAATAAAATAAATTTAAATAAATAATTTAAAAAAAAAAATTAAAATGGCATACAAAATATAATAAAAATGATATCAAACAATTTAAAAAAATACAAAAAAGTCAAATAAAATAAATGAAATGAAATAAAACAAAATTAATTTAAACAAAAAAAAACAAATATAAAAGAAAATAAAATAAAATATTAATGAACATGATTTTGACTTTTACGTAGTTTTTTCTTGGTGGTATATATTTTTGAGCAGCACCTTCTTTATATATATTTTAGTAAAACATTTAATTAAATAATCATGGTTAATTAAATTTTCTTTTTAAAACAAAAATTTCAAATTAGACATTTCTTTCCAAATAATTCTTAGTGAAGTTTGTTTCCTTCTTTATTTTATATGAAAGCAATTTAAAATATTTTAGATATACTGAACAGAAATATATATGTATGTTTATAAGATTCTACATGTATGGTAGCATTGAATATACTCGTACATATGTACATGGATACAACAAAGCTTTGCATGAATTTAAAATCCTTTAGCAAAACTGACACACTTCAACTTGCGAGATAATGTGAATGTGTGTGTACGAGTATTCGAGTTTGTATATTCATGAGTGCTTGCGTGCAAACAAATTTGGACACACAAGACGCCACATGCGAGCCTCTTTAATCTGATTTTCATAAAAGCATTTACAAACATACTTATATGAATGTGTGTATTTCCTAAGTTTACCAAATGCCAAAAGTTGTGAAGCTAATAAAAAGCGTGTCACTTTAATAAGAACGAAAATCAAATGGTGGCAAAGCCAAGAAGCCAAAAGAAAATGAAAGTGAAAGCAGAAAACGTAATCAGCTAAGAAAAGAAATTTAAGATGCTCATCAGAAATCAAATTAAGCTCCGATCCTAAGGCAGTTCAGAGGCAGTGAAGTGCTGTGCGGACTAGCTAGATAACATATATACATATATACATGCACGTACATACACTTTTTCGTGAGCACAGCGAAATTAAGCAATTTAAATTTTAATTTTACAATGTTAAATAACAAATTACTGTCTGTTATACTACATGCATATATGTACTTACATCACGTTTAATTTGAATGTCTTGTGTGTGGCATTTGCTTTTAGGATGTTTAGGCTCCTTTTCTTTTTTATTGTCGTGTGCATCGCCTACACGATTAATCGGATCAACCGTGGCTTTACAGATCGTCGCTAAATTTGAAACGTCAAGTCAAGCCAAATGATCTTTCCAACGGGGAAGAGGTATTCCTTTCTCTTGCATCCCCCAGTGATACTGTGTCGAACAATTTCAGAGCTGAAGTGCTGTCGGCAATACGGATGTAAGTGACTAATTAAGCCCTCCGACATTATTACTGACAATAAATAGAAGATCCTTATAAAAATCCTTACTCCGGGAGCGGCTTAGAACATATTGCAGATGAAGGGACACTGGAAACAATACCAGGACCACAAATTAGTGGAGGAGCTCGTCAAAGAATCGATTAAGCGAAGAACAGCGGCCGCTCGATGCTGCATCACCCATGTTTATGTATATGTGACAGTCAAGTCAATAAAAAATTTCAGAGCTTGTTGGCAAACTAAATATCTTTAAATAAACGAATTTTTCCATTTCGCACTTTTACTGTTTAACAATTGAAGCATGAATGGGAAAATACACTTAAGTCCTTTAATGTGTTTGCTTTCCTTTAAGACAGACACAAACTATTTGTTATGTGTACATATAAGCGCGCTTGTTTACATACAGTACATATATTTGTAAATTTGTATGTCTTTGATGTTTTTAGCTCTTCTAACAAATTTTGTATCAACGCAGCCACCATTACTGGGAAATTAAATGTCGGCAGACAATTCTAGCTTAGAGCTCCGGATATCTGCATATATTTTTTTAAAAGTTTTTTAGACAGAATTTCTAGTATTGAGAAAACCATTTTTGTAACGAGAACTTTTTCTTTTCTTTTTTTATACGAACACTTTTACGTGCTTTCTCGTCGCTGCATCCGGTTACTTTTTGCTGCAATTATTTTGTGCGCACACAGATGAGCGTCATCTTCAGTTACATTGGTGTGAGTATCGTGCTGTTCTTTGTCTCCCGCTTTTCACCGTACGAGTGGCGCATTGTGCAATATCAGACAGGTAAGTGTTCCAGAATGCGCTTAAATGGATTTGTCAAATATTTGCGTATTCAAAGAGATATTTACACGTATACTTTCATATATAGTATTTAACATATGGTTGAGTTGACGACATACAAAATGCTATTTTGCATTTTTAAAGATAAAGATATAGATAAAGATAAAGATAAAGATAAAGATAAAGATAAAGATAAAGATAAAGATAGTATTTAACATATGGTTGAGTTGACGACATACAAAATGCTATTTTGCATTTTTAAAGATAAAGATATAGATAAAGATAAAGATAAAGATAAAGAAAAAGATAAAGATAAAGATAAAGATAAAGATAAAGATAAAGATAAAGATAAAGATAAAGATAAAGATAAAGATAAAGATAAAGATAAAGATAAAGATTAAGATAAAGGCAAAGATAAAGATTAATATAATAATAAAGAAACCCCTTAAAGTAAAAACATAAATGCAAGTAGAAACTGAAAAAATACGACATCTGACAAATTCTAAAAATAAAATATTGAAATAAGTATTTTTTCATTATATACTTATACCCAATTTCACACTTTCACTCTGATTTAATTAAATTCCTAATTTTTATTGAATTAAAAGTTATCTAACCTCTGTTTCCTAAATTTATAGCTTAATGCATCGCTTAAATTTTCCACGTTCATTTAATATCTTTTGCTATTTGGCAATCAATTTCCCTATCAACAAATCCTTCCATTTTACTCCTCGCCAAAGCACTCAAAGAGCTTGTGGGCACCCACCTCATGTACAAAAATAGTACATGCTTAAACACACACACACAGCAACACCCACTGACACATATGTTTGATATACGTATTCTCGTATGTGGGACTGCCAATTCGATTGGCAATTTAGCAGCAATCCTGGCCACAAATCACAAATCCTTTCAATTAGGATGCGTTCATTTAATTCACTCGTTCTAATCTTGCTCCACATCAAAGTCACAAATTACAGTGACATGGTGTGTTGAGCGTCGGGCAGTCAAGGAGTCATTGAATATGTAACATTACTAACACATATATATGTACATACATACAGTCATTTGCGCATATAAATACTCGTATATATATATATGTATGTAGCGGTACCAATACATTCCAGTTGTTTGCACACATACATGCATACATACATATACACATATTTGGATATCTCTCGACATGCAAATACCAACGAGTTGCCTGACTTCCGAAATGCTTATTTCTTTCACTTTGCTGTGGGGCAGAACGCTGCTACACATCTATCAGATGAAGGCTGCGCCTTAATTTAATTTCTACTACTATACAGTTATACGTGTATGTATAGTGGCAATAGGTGTTAGTGTATTTACATACACAAATGTATGCCCAAAAGTTTTTGCGTCGGGCATATAAAAATGTTCAACAAAAATATCCACGCTACTAACGGAATTTCTCCTTCTACTCATACCTACTAGTATATGTACAAGTTTTAGTATATTTACTTTGGTATACACGCTAGGCGACAGACAGACAGTGCTTTTACACTGGCAGCCGCATTCGTCACAGCCTCTATAAACAAGTTTGCACAGATCCCTCGTAGGAATTTTTGTTAATTTTTAATATAGCTTAAAATTCAAAGACGATAAGAGAATAGAAAAAGCAAAATATTTTTTTTATTGAGATCAATTTTTAGAGTGGTAAGCAATGTATGCTGCAATTGGGAAGGACAGATCCTGGATGAACTCAAATTATTTTCTATTGTATTTCAGACATGGAGCAGTATCGAATTACTTTTCATATCAAGCGAGCTAAACCTGATCGTACCTTGAAGGCCATCTAGACACTTTAGATCCCTTTAATTGTGTAGCAACTTATCATCCCGTCAGCTCTTATTATTTTCTGACTCATTTTCCTGAGAGAGCTTACATATGAATCGAGGTCATATAGCGGGAGGCGGGTAACGTTCGGCTGGTCGTAAAACTAAAGTTTTGACAGAAATATCTCTGAGAGGATACCAAACATACTTATAAATACTTGTGTTGACTTGGGTTGATACATCTGCTGATTGATCACTGAGCAATGTACTTAGATCTAAAGGCCCATTGTATAACCGTTGCAAGGCTCCTGACTTCACCTTCTGAAATGTTCGAATCATTGCTTGTGCCTTGCAATCGCAACGAGATTGCCAGCTCAGCGAGACAATCGAAGACTCTTCTTCTCTTTCCTTTTTAAAGCTATCGGCAAAGAACATCGTATTTATCTGCTTCTTGTTGGCTTAACTTGATCTCGAAATATCAACTCGTGGTATGAAGTGAAGTGTAATCGGTTGGAAAAACTGAGACCTGGAACTGCTTTTTCCATTGTCGAACTAAAATCCACTGGGGAGCACAATCAGCCTACTTAACATATGTCCCATTTTATCTACTTATTTAACTTCACCAAAACAGTCAACACTCAAGAACAACCCAAAGTAGCCCAAAGTTTATGTTCCACGCTTTCTTTGAAACTTGTTCCACGAATATCATTCAACCATATTTTGCAAAAAGACTTGGGTTTTAGAACTTGTAAAGTTCAGCTAACACAAGAACTCAAGCCGACCGATCATCAACAACGTCGTGCCTTTGCTGAATGAGTCCAAAAAATTTATGGAAATGATCCGTAACTTCACTGAAAAAACATCTTGACTGATGAGGCTCATTTCCACCTCAATGGCTACGTCAATAAGCAAAACTGTCGCATCTGGACTAAGAAATTTATCCTCGAAAATCCTCTCCATAATAATTTTTATTGACCGGAATTGGAAGATCAAAGTCTACTTTCACCGGCGCTGAGCACCACCCATGCAACGAAATAATTGATCTTTTAAGGGAGAAGTTTTTGGACCGTGTTATCTCTGGGAGAGGTGAACGCGATTGCCCACAGAGATTTGATGATTTAACACTTTCCAACTTCTTTCTTTGGAGCCAGACTTCAAGGATTTAACATAATTCGTGAAGCAATTGAGTATTTACAGCAGCCAATTTGCGATTCAGTGATGAGAATTTTCAAAAAAAAAAAAAAAAAAAAAAAAAAAAAAAAAAAAAGAAACCACGGACTTGTAATCGTGGAGGTTGTTTTGCTGATAATCTTTTCCATAAAGGAAACCATTGAAATAAGCGTCTGGTCGTTTATCTCAAAAAATACTTATATTCTTTAAATATGGAAATAAAACTTCTTATTGGAAAGCCTTGTGTACTATTCTTAAAACACGCACATGATGCTGGTTAACCACTATCCACGGCTAAGTAACTGCTTAAACTGGCCTTCTCAAGGGAAGCTAACGCACGATGGCTGAACGAGATCACGTGTAACGTGACCAGGCCGCTGTGGCCGAAGTTGGAGGCGAAAAAATTCAAACATCTTAACCTTTTGGACCAATTCTCCATTAGCTTAGCCACGGGAGTAATAGCTGAACACTGTTCAATGTGGCTTCACGGGATTAGAATGGGTTTTTACTCTAACGATTTCTACCACGGTTGTAGGGACGAAGAAGAGGAGGAGACCATCGTCCTCTGCCACTGTCCAGTCTTGACATACGCGCGACACAATTTGCTTTTGGAAACACTTCATCGACTGTTTCGCTGAGTAGGTCTCAGTGAGCATTGGAAATCTCGTTGCCTATATAAGGCACCCGAAATGGTTCGATCTTTTGAGAAGGGGAAGGCAGGAGCCTCAGCGGTGTCACAATGGGCATATTGGCCTAAGTGTGCAGGGGTTTGTGACCAACAGCCGCATCAACTCAACTCAACTAAACTCAATGAGCACCCTATAACTGCTGAAGCCATTTTTGGCTGAGCTCTTTCTCTTCTTACTGGCGCGTGTCTCGTTATGGGTCTGTAGGTCTTCCCAAAAAATAGAGGTACCTGCAATTTGTATTCAGCCTTAAAGAAGTTTCTTTCCAACTAGCATTTTCTCGTAGGGAAATATTTTGCATGCCATGAGCTACAATAGAGAGTGTAGTATTCAAAATCAAAAAAATGGAAAGGAAATACCAGCATGGCTCGAAGCAACAGAAAACCCAAAGGCAAAAAGAAGAAGATGCTATCATTTGAAAGCACCCAAAAATGAATAGCGTACAAAGAGTAAGGCATGAAATAAATGGCGAAAATTCCATTAGAAACAAGAGCAAAGTTGAATGTGAGACGCCAAACATTCCATGCCACATATGGCACACAGAACACGTACGCTACACACAGCGGGCACGGCTGGATTGGTATGTGGCATGTGACGTGCAAGCAGCGCCTGACTTTCTTTGTGCCGCATTCAGAGTGCGATGTGCGGCTTTTAGAGGCGCCCAATTTAATAGTGGCAGACTGGCTTTTCGTTAGCACATAGTTCACATTTCGCAGCTTTACGTATAAGTAAGGTTTCAGCAAAGTAGCAGACATTGACCAGCACGATGTACACACACATATTCTCAAAAGGACATATGATATATATGTATAAAAAGTGAATGAACGCTTGTCATATTCAAGCTGCATGCAAATGCCTACAATCTGCTGATAAGGCCAGCAAAAGCACATCCACAGCTACACCCAAAAATACAAGAAAAAAACTTATACTCCCAAGTTCGAAAATATCGCAAACATACACACATTTCTATTTCTTGACACATGTACGTACATACACTTTATCATATTATCATACACCATTATTACTTGCCCACAACCTTAACTACTCACACTTAAACTCTCTCTCTCTTACTTGCCTCTCCTTTTTCGACAGATTCGCATGCACATCACGATCCAATGGCCAATCAACAGCCGCCTGGCATCATCGGTGGCGTACCTGTGCCCGGTCCAATGACCGGTGCGACCAGTGCCACGGCCAGTCCGGCGAATATTGGCGTAGTTAGTGCTGGTGGTGTGGCCGGAAGTGTTGGCCTCGGCTCATCCGGCACTGCAGCGGTCAACGAGTTTAGCATTTTGAATTCATTTTGGTTCGCCTTGGCCGCTTTTATGCAACAGGGCTGCGACATATCACCGCGTTCCATCTCCGGTCGCATAGTCGGCGCCGCTTGGTGGTTTTTCACGCTCATTCTAATTTCATCGTACACAGCCAATTTGGCAGCATTTCTCACCGTCGAACGGATGGTGACACCAATCAATTCGCCCGAAGACTTAGCTATGCAAACGGAAGTACAGTATGGTACGCTGTTGCATGGCTCGACATGGGACTTTTTCCGGGTAAGTACCGTTCGAGTGGCATTATAAATGAGTTGTAGACATGTACATACAGATGTCGAAGTATGATTTGAATTGCACTTTTTCGAAAAGTGTCATTTCAGTGCTATTTTTTTATTTTTTTGTTCATCTAATGTACACCACACATATTTTAGAAGGTCACAGAAGAACACTTTTACCTGAGTGTTTACATAATTTATAACTAATTTTCGGCCCATGAAGCTTATATATTTTCTGAAACATGTTGCACCCTACACTGTTAAATAGCTAACAATTTGCACACTTGCCTAGCATAACGTGAAGAGCTGACTAGTGATTGCAGATTTAAGTCATAATAATTAAATATTTTTATTCATTGGCTTAGTTAAAGTATAAAGTAGTTGTTGTCCAAAAATGGATTAGGATATAATAAAAGGAAAATTATTTAAGATTTCTGGAATTAGATCTTCAAAAAGCTCATTGAAAAAATTATTACTGCCCCAGCTCATAATCTATACCAACCAATGCTTTTTTGGATACTTTGAAACTTCTCGCAATGCCTCTGTTTGCTCTTTACTCCAAATATGACGATTTTGCTTATGGATGTATATATTGAAACAGAAATGAGACTCGCGTTGAACAACATTTTTCGATAAGCAAGTATGTCTGCAGGCAACCTTGTCAACGCCCATTCACCAAAAGCTACCAATTTTTGCACCAGCCCCTTAGTTCTGAAAGGTTTCGTATTCATATCTTACAGTAAACCTTTCCCAAGTTACAGAAGCCCAATCGCTGCGAACGGCGCCGATCGATGATTTACGGTATCACTGACATAGACGGATGTACCGTACGTATGCACGTTAAAGTTTGGTGTCTAATAATGTATATTTGGAGGGAAATGTAATCACTAGATTCCGAATAGCAGACTTAGAAGGATAGAGCCTAAGGCAGTAACTTCCTATTAACCAACTGAGTAAATATTAGCCTGTCTCATAGAAATCATCCTCCTTGTTAACAAATTCTGCCTCAGAAATACAACCATTGTCTAGTAGTCTAAAACAGCACATATGAATTCTCTCTTCAGTGCTTTCATATCGTCTAGTCTTTCCTTGTGAAAAGTTTAAGGAGATTAAGGGAAGGAGCCAATCGCCGCCAGTTCGAGGATAGAATGATCAATGCAGCAATGGTTGACATCGAGTTTCTCAAGAACAGTCAAGTGTCGCGCTCTTCAATTGACCAAAGATCCAAAACTCCCAAATTGCATAGCGACTACAAATGACTGACACCAGAGTTGGAATAGTTCCAACAGTATTCAGCTGATGATACTTTCACATTTTTGGACGCTTTTGATGTCATTGAACATTGTTGACCAACTTGGAAATCATAAAAAGTTGCGAAAATTGTGTGAGGCAACGTTCTATATTACATTCCACAATTTCTGTTGAATATTGCCGTACGATAAAGTCATGGTGGTACTACCAAACTTGTTTTTCAAGGCGGTGATGCCATGGAATTTGATTGGTCTAAAATAAAATTACAGCCATCACCGACTTTTCTTTAATATGCTGAGATGCATAGCTGATTTCGGTGGAGGTAGTGATACACGCCTTTAAGTAGGACTTGTCTAAAATGGAGTTCCTTCTACCTAACATGACAATGGTGTATTCTTCTAAAGCAACTCAAATATATTTTGCCGCATTGTATCGACGGACTTGCCTTTAGAGTGAGATAATTAAGCTTTTTTTTGACGACAACGCACCCAGCGTTACCCACATTTCGTCCGCGCTTGAAACGCAATCGAAAAATCCAACAAAACGGTGACAGAAAACCAATGACAATCTGAACTGCCCTGAACCCGAAACCGATTGCGCAAACTTGTGATAAAACTTGCGACTTACACTAAACACCCACAGATTTGTTCATCAGCTGCTGTAAATTATTTTGAAGAAAGAGGAGAAAATTATTTAAAAATCTTATAAAGTAGATTTGGATAAAGAAATTATGCCACCTAAAGCGTCTAGAAGATTCTATAGGGGCGGTAAAGTGGAGCTCGCTAAGTAGGAATGGGCTGTTAAGAGCACCTCTTATCAATTTATTTAGAAATAGAACTCCAAGAATCTTTCTACGGAAATAAAAGGTAGGCGGATTAAGAAGTCTTAGACAATTTTTGTTAGGGCGAGATATTTTATTCCCATCCCAGCTTAAATTTCTTAACGGGAGGATATGCTTTTAAAGTAATGCAAAGACTCCAACTGAGCCAAATTCCGAAATGGACCTAACAAGTGAAGAAATAAATAATTCGGTAATGCATGGGTCATTGAACTCCTTAGTTCAACTTTTAATGAAAACTAAATGCCTTCGACTTATGGGAAAACTGTTTCATCTAAAATCAAGTTTAGGTTGGGCAAAAGAATGGAAATATGAAAAAAAGGAAAAAGGTGCAAAGAGTCATGTCCGAACTGTAGGGTATATTTCAAGGACAATTTAGGTAAATTCAGTAACTTTTAAGGCATCCCTCGCAACCAGAGCATTGTCTTAAAGAAACAGCACTCTGCGCGCTAACTTGCCACGTCTCTTCTGTACGACTCCCTCACGCGCCTCACTCAACAAATTGGTGTATTACGGCAGCCGTTCATATAAGATCCTTTGGCAAGTAATCAATTAATCTTATACTCTCGATATCCTATAAAATGGTAGCCATAATCTTCGACGCCGACTTATCCACTTTGAGTTTTTTGGTCGCCTTTTCCCTTTTGTTATCCACTGCATAGACTTTTGTTGGCAGTTTGAAGAATTTAGGTTTCATTAACTGTTGCAATGCGGTTTGCAAATTTCATTCAAATTATTTTGGCACAACTCCAACAAATGTGTTCAACCCTCCAATCATTGTGGCTTATCGAGCGGCGTGAGCATTCGAGGTATATAACGCGCACTAATTTTTTGAACAAGCAAATGTTCAGGCAAAATCTCTCCAGCTCGTTCTTTGCTAATCTGTTATCCTTCTGCTTTGTTCCACAATTTAATTCTTCGTTTAGCTAATGCTGATTTCTCAACTTTCCTAAAATTTTCTTCGGTCACGACCGGCACTGGGCGCTCTGCACGGACGACATCTTCACAGGTCTCTCTTCCTTGTTGAAACAGCCGAAATTATTATTCATCATCATATATGAAAGAGCAGAGTACTGAAGATCATCGCTTCAAGCATCTCTTTCAAAATTTCTCTCGGCGTGCTTCCTTTTTCACAAGGAATCTAACCACACTTCATGGAACGAAATGTTAATTAGCATATAAAAGTCATTGTGTTATTTATACTAATTATGTGTACCGCAGTTAGTAGTATCAGTAACGAGGAGATGTGTCGTCTCTACTACTCAGCCGCCTCTCTTATTTTGACATAGTAGACCACTTCAAAATTTTCTCAAAATTTTTCTCGTCTGTGTGACAACGGAATGTGCAGCTTGAGTGTCATCATGTCTTTAAAAGACTTAATGACTGTGTAATCTGTAAAAGTAACGAATCATCTGAAAAAATGAGAAAATTTTTCCAATTTTGAATTTATCCAAAAGACTTGAAGTTCGTTCAGTTTCCAAGTTTAAATATTTAATTTCAAAATTAAGTCCATATATGTGCAGTCAAATGTGTTAAGAATTTTTTTCTTTATTTAATTGCTTGATTTATTAATTTAAAAATCATGCAACAATTATAAGAAATTTTAAGATTTTTTCATGTGATTCAAAACCCGAATGTTCCTTAAATCTCTGAATAATAGTTCATATTGCAGAAGTGCTGCCAATTAAATTGAACAAAATCAATTCAATGCGGATTAAATTTACTCAGTGACACATAAATGAAATATACACCTTTACAGACATTTACGAAAATTTAAATTCCCTTCAACAACATTAATTGGCTGCTGATTGATGCTTACTGAAAACTCAAGTAACTTTTCAATTCATTTCATTTTCCGAAAATTCAACTTGAAAAATATATATATTTTTTTTTTTTAATTTTCAACAGCCAGCTTATTGGCTTCTATGTACGACAGCACGTAGACTTTTTTACACATTACACTTACATAAGTATATATATATATTTATATATATACATGTGCATACTACCTGCTGTCAGATGGAATGCACTGAATACATACGCGTGCAAAGTTTAAAGCAAATTTTCAGAGTTAAACAAAAAATATATATATGCTTATACGGGTATATACATATGTACTTGTGTATGTATGTGACTGGAAAACATTCGTACAACATGTGAAATTAAATTTTATCATCGATATATGCACATGTGCGTGTGCAATCGTTTTTTTTTTTCTTTGCTTTACAGTTCACTTTGATGTTTTAACATATTTGAGTAATTTGTGATGTGATTTCCACACATGACTCATGTTTTTCTTCACTCAATCTGCTGGTGCATTTCCAAATTACTCCAATTTCATGGGAAACAGTTTTTTTTGGAAATTTAAATTTTTACTGATTTGGTTTGAATGGGATATAAATTCAAATATCTGCTCAAGTTGTCAAACCTTTGCAGCCCAGTCAATCTTGTATCCTATCAGTTTGGAAATTTCTATAATAAAATTTTTTTCTTTGATTGATTTACACTGTCATGGCATGTAATTGCTTGAAATCAATATTGGACGAAATAAATAAAAAATATGACAAACTACACTCGACTGAAGTGCGTTGGGCTGTCCTCAGCTGAGCTGAGCTGAGTAGAGATGTGGCGAGCCGTGCTGAGCTTCAGCTTGTCAGCAGAAATGCCAATACCAGACTAGCGAGGATAGACAGTCGGCTATGCGCCGTCAGGCGCCTGTTAATGAAAGAATTGCAATTGCCGCAGTGTACATACATTTCTACGTCGTCAATATCAGCAACTGAGGCGCAAAATTAAAGAAAAATTATTTTTTATTGAGCTGATTGAAAGAGACAATTATTTAGCGCCTTGCAAAAATGGTGTGGATTCAACTATATATGCGATATCCGAGGTCAGGATCGTTTTGATCTCATACA